TTTATTCTGACTACACCTCAATCATCAGACACAATGCTTCCTCATCTTTGCAGGCATTTGTTAGACTGCCCACACTGCAATTTTTCAAATGAATCTCTTATCACAAATGAGAGAGTTCATCACAAATTTCCTTCTGCACCTACCCCCTTCATTACAATCATTTCATCTTTGTCTTCATGTCTCCGAACTGATTCCTTCCTTTCCCTCCTACTTTTCTCTCTTCCTCCTTTTTCTCTCTTCTCCTCTTTTTCTGCATCTACCCTTTCTCTTTCTCTCATTACCATCAGTATTTTTATCTTTCTATCTTCATTCTCTTTCTGCCTTATCTTCCAGCCATCACTATTTATTCCTTTCTTCCTCTTCCGCATCTCCTCTTAAATTTTTTTTTTTCTCATAATATTAGAACAAGCCAATTTGGTTATCATGGTATAAAGGAAGAATGATTGAGAGAAAGAAAAGGACCGTAGTTTGATGGGGAAGGATCATGGCACTAAGGACTCATTATTTCTGGATCCTGCCTCCGCCTCTCCCTCTGCAAAAAAAAAAAAAAAAAAAAAAAAAATGTATTAATGCCTTCATTGTATTTGAATGTAGCCACAAAGAATAACAATAAGTGGTTAATTTATCCGTAACAGGGTTTACAGGGACCTCTGTGTGAAAGACTTTATTTCCTGTTGTAGGAAGTAACTGTTTGATAGACCCAAGTCCATATCTTCTGTCAATGTGTACTTGTGAAACAGAGAAAGGACATAAGGATGTGGTTTATTACTCTACCTGCTGTAAGCACTCTTTGCAACAATGGCCTGCATCTCTTATTAGCGACGTCAACAGTGATGGCCTGCAATTAAATGTTAGATCTGCACCTGTGCATTCATGCATACAGAAATTGCTTGGGCGGTGACATCAACTTTGTGGTGTTGGCTAGATATCCATATGAGCATTCTTCTTTGTAACAAAGATAATTATTTTTCTTCTCAAAAGCCCTGTTGCTATTTTTCTATTTTTTTTTATAACTACAGAACATGCACATGGGTGAGTGTTTCCTTTTATTTTATTTGCAAACGGATAAATATTTTGGTTAATTTGCACTTCACTGTACACGTTCTATACCCCAAAAAAAATAACAATGAATCACATTTCATGAGATTTTAAATTTATACATACTAGGATATGTGGGTGTTATAACTGATAAGGACTTAGAACAAGGAATTGGAGAGCCAGTTCATATTCCAGTCAAGTTTCATTACATTAACTTTCATGCAAATACTCTTGGAAAAGGTAGGAATCCATCCCAAACTATAGGTTAAATAGTAAGACAAACTGGGCTATTTGTCCTTGGTTGACAACTAGTGTAGGAGAAAGATAACTCTGATTTCAAAACCATATGTAATCCTAACAAAGCACATACTATCTAGTTAATAAAAGGCTAAGATCAAGACTGGTCATTCAATCAATTAAATCTCAAAAGAAAAATTGAAATCATTGAATCGATGATGATGATGATGATAATAATAATAATTTGGGACTTTACCATTCATACTTAGAGATATATAAAATAATTTTAATAACTGTTTTTCCAGCCAGATCTTCCCACACTTGAGTGATGAATGCCACACAATTTTCCAACTCCTATTCCTCACATGTAAGCTTATAAAAAGAAAACCATTGTAAATAGTTACTAAAATTTTACTCTTACAGAGAAAAATAAGATTTATTTTTTCTATTCTAATATACATCAAATATGATATATAATATCAAGATAATAGTTTATGTAATTTCCCTTTTGAGTCACCCCCCCCCCTATTTTTTTTACCATTTTACAATTGGACTTTGGGAGAAAAAACTCCCCCATTTTTTTTTCTCCATAAGTGAGGGTTCTATTAGATTATGAAAACACCAAAGGTACAATCAGATTTTTTTTAAGTGCCCCACTAACCCCATGGGGTTAAGAAAGCGTATTACACTCTATTGGTATTCATGTTTGTATCTATCCTTTTTCTGGTAAAAATTCAATATTCAGTCTGTGGCAAAACACAGTGGATGCTTTTAAAGCCGGGTCACAATGAGCGGTCTTTCTTTCTTTCTTGACAAATGTCAATATCTCAAAATCTATTTTTGTACTTCCATAAGTCAAAAATGTTGCAATTTCGTATCAGCCTCAGTTTTGTGCACACACAGAACCAGGATTCATGTTCTTCAATGTCAACGTAGACTTTTCTGTCACAGTTGTTAGTTTGTTCTCAAAAATAAAAAAAATTGATGACAGCAAGTCTTTCTTTTGGTGCATGGGATCCTCAACCACACCCCATTTAATACATTGCAAGAGAGGAGTAATCTTAACCAATATGAAAAAGAATAAGTTTCATAACAGAAAAATGGAAGTTAAAACACACTTCACTTCAAGTATTTTTCATTTTTCCTACCACTTCACCTTCTATGTCTGTTCATTGCTACTGATCAATATCATACATTTTGGACTGTAATGCAATGCAATATTCAATGAGAAATTTTTTTCTTCACTAAATGGCATTTTAAGCTCACATCTTTCTTTATTTCTTTCCTAATTTGATGACCTACTGAACTAACTTCAGTAACAGCAGAATGAAAACTGACAACTCTCCTTTCCCTAATTCATTGAAGGTGGATATTTTTAAGTATTAATATATTTTATTTCATTTATATTATATGTCTTAGCCATCTTAGTTACCCCTTTTGCCTCTCTGCTTCTTCCTAAATTTTATAACTTCCATTATTGACTATATTTTTAGATTTAATTCTTTATTTCTAAATTGGTACGATTATAAAAGGACATAGCTTCTTAGAAAAGAATATTGCAACAAGACTGCTTATCAATGTTTACTTTTTTCTTTTTTTACATTTAAACTGACCATTTTCTTTACATTGCTGCTGTCAGAGTAAAGTAGTTACTGAAGAGTGGTTTACCAGAGTGTTCACTTACTTGCACTCTTTGTCAAACATTTGTTGACATGACTGTGGCAAGAAATCTTTAACCCTATCCTCAATTTACATGGGGTGAGGGAATGAATTAATTGACTTGCCCAGGATAAGGGTCCATTGTCTATGTGCACCAGAAGCAAATCTCTATTTAATGGTTTGATTGTTTTCTGAACTTAATGATCACGTAGCTGCTTTCAGGTAGCTGGTTGTACCTGCAAACAAACTTTGCATCCATGTGGTACCAACCCAACAAGTTCACCATCTCTGAACAGGCTCAGTCTCTGGGCCAGTCATCTTCTGGCTTGACATCCATATAGATGCCTGTTGTTGGTACCTGTAGCCAAACTTTGTATTCAAGTAGTAGTGACCTAGCAGGTGCACTATCTTGGAATAGGATCTGTGCTTGGCTGACCAATGTTAGAGATTCTGTTTCCATCAAAGGCTAGTAACGAAACATTTAGTCACAATATCTGGCAGTGGAATAGAGGAAAGGGAAAAGTGGGTTCATTCCTTTTCCAAAGGCACCTTTCTCTTCTATCATTAACCATCACACATTTCACATTTGACAATGTTCCTCTAAATCTTTTCTCCTCCTTTTTTTCTCTCACCAAATTTTGTCCAATATGTCACATCTATTGTCTGATTTACTTTTCACCTCCAATTCTACCAGCCCCCCCTCTCAGCACTTACGTCTTTAAAATTCTTGTTTCCTGTCTTTGGCTAACACCATTTCTTATTCTGTTCTATTTCTCCAGCCGTCTCAACCTAATTATGACACACACTACTACTTTTCTTCCTTCTCCTATTGAGTCTGGTAGAATTCTATTCTCACCTTCCAAAATTTTTGACACCCTCTCAGGTACCTATTCAAATACTTTGATGCCAACTACTACAGTCTCCATCCATGGTTCCATTGACCAAGTTGCTTCTCCCAGAATTTTACACCTTGGCTGGCTATTACTCTTAATAGCTTGTCAGATGGTCTTCTCACTTTATATTGTAAATGTACAATCTTGTTTTGATGATCACAGATTATTAATTTCATTTGCAAAAGTGTGATTGCCACTTTGACAGTTCATGCTGCAGATTACTTCTTACCAAAATCTGTATTTGATCATGGACAGACTATTTTGAGACTGTTTGAATAACAGATTCATACAGATTGGGCACTTCAGCATGAGGTAATGGTTAGTTAGCTAGTGTATTTCATCATTACTACTGACCCTCACTGTGCACCCAACTGTTGTGACCTTGTACCCATCTTAGCTTAGTATTAGTATATGAGAACACAACATAGAGATTAAGTTTTGGGGTTTTTTCTTTTTTTTTTTTTTTTTGTGATGCACTAAGTCTTTATTGGTGTTGTATGTCTATGATTAATATATTAGGCATCAAGTTAATATTCATTGACTGACATGCAGTTTCATCTGCTAAGGCCATCTTTGGCTTTTGGTAATGAGTCCTTGTCATATTAGCTTCAAGATGGCACTGCCTGCACAGGAAATGTTGACTTTAATCAACTTGATTGTCATGTGGATAGGAAAACTGAAACTGTTTACACATCCCACTTTTCTATCTTAACATTGTTGCAGATATCACTTGACTTGAAGTCACTTTTTTTCTCATTTGCTTCATAATCTTTATGGAAAACTCTTCTACTCAAGCAAAATTTTTCATATAAAACATGTTGTTTTCAGTAGTTAATCATATCCTTGTCAAGAGAACATAGGAATGGTAATATTAGTCATTTGTTTATCAGGAAGAATTTGGTGTTCATGGAGCAATGCACCTTGTGTTACCCAATTTAAACTATTCTTCACTCTCTGGCCATCAGGGTGGGATCAAAGTGTAATATCTGTTCTCCTTATCTTTAATAGTAATGGAAATATTAGCCATTACCATATAAGGCAACATATGACATTCATTGGCCAAGCAGCCAGTGCTACCACAAGTTGAAATTTATAAAATTTTTCTCTTGAAATAGTTTTCAGGAAAATAGGTTTTTCAAGTCCACTCTAAAGAAATAACTACTTCTTCCTTTTATGTGGCGTCTCTCTTTGAAATCTAACAAAAATATATTTTTTTCTTTTTTCAGATTTAGGCCAGAAAATCAGAAACTCGTAGTAAATATTGGAGATCGACTAAACATCATTTGTCCAAATTACACCTCATATGTTAATGAGTCTGAAATGGAATATTATGCGATCTACATGGTAAGTAAGATCACATTTATTTCTTTGCTCTTCAATTCCTCTTTGTTTATAAGATATCCAGAAAAAAAAGGGTCACAAAAGAAGTCATCTCAACCATGAAGATTAAACTAAAGTCTCTGAGAAAAGAAAAAAAAATATATTGTATGGCTCCAGACTGCATGGACAACAGAAATTTTGCACAAACATTTTTTTTTTTAACACAGGGGGGATATCTGAATGTATCCTGGATTTAAACTAAATTGAAAAAAAAAAAAGATGTTATTCTCAGATTTAAGTAGTAAATGAAAGTTCATTAGTTATAAGAGAGTTACATGTCCTTGGTTTTTGCTTGCTATTACTTAATTTAAGAATAAACGAATTTTGAATCTATTTTATATTAAAGTCTTTCAAGAAAATGACTTATTGCATATATATTCCTTTTTTTAAAAGCTTTCACTTTGCAACAAAATTAAATTTTGATCCTGGTGAAAAAAAAACTTTACCTGTCACAAATGTTAATCAAATTTTAAAAAAAATATTTTCTGCAGAAGTATTTAAAAAATATTTTTAAATTTACATATGTGATTTTTTGCACTCTCTGGGAGAATCCATAGACAAAAATAGAAAGCAAATTATATATATATATATATATATATATATATATATATATATAAGGCATTTTGTATTTTATACACATTAAAATCTTGTAATTTTCAATTGAATATAATTATACAGAGTTCTAGAAGCAAAAAACTGGTATGTATGTAACATTTACTCTAAAATTTTTAGTTCAGTCTCAAAGTACGCATCATTTTTTTTACTTAATCGCCTACTAGAGTAAATAGTTTTTATACTTAAAATATTTAAGGAAACTAAAAGTTAATTCCTTTTTATTTCCTTTATAGCTTAAAAAAAAGAAAATCTTAATCTTTCTCGCCCATGTTCTTCAAATAATTTTTCTGTTTGTATAAAGATTTCTTGATCATATTCCAATAAAATGCAAATCCTGTTTAAAAAAAAAATAAAACATCTTTTGGTTTATCAAGTTTCTTTTCTCAATTGAAAGCCTCGATATGTTATTTTGAAAGATTAAATGTGAACTCTGAGAACAATGATTAAAAGACAAGTCAAAGAATTCTGTTAATTACCAATTACTTTGAAGACCTACCACAAATGATTTCAAAGAATGTATTTTCATTCTTTAGTCTTTTCTTTCAATTACACGAAATTCTCTTCTGCCATATTCTAAAAACAAGCACCTGATAATTAAAATGAAGAATGATAGACCAACTGTAAAGAAACAAGAAGAAATATTCCAAAATTTCTATCTACATGCAAGAGGATATTATTCCAAGCTTCCATTTTCTTCCAGGAAATGTAGTGTTTCCAACAAGACTGGAATGACAGATAAGGGGAATGGTAGGGTAGGGAGCATGAAGAAAAATTTTCCTCCAGATTTCTAATTCTAAAGAATTTTATGCCAAGAATTATTAAAAGAATTAAATATCTTTGGTATTTCATTCTTTCCCTCAGTCTGTCTTTCTTTCCTTCCTTTTCCCTTTCTGTTATTTTTTTTAAAATTTGAATAAAATGGTTATCTCCTAGAGAAGATGCCCGGATTTATTTGGCATTAAATGTATATTTGGCCTTTGGTAATCATTGCATGATAATTGACAATTCCTTTCATCTTCATTAAGAATCTTAAAATGGACAGTGTAAAAAAAAAAAAAAAAAAATTATTTGGCCTTCTTTCTCATGACTTGTGTGACTCTGTCAAATACAGATTCTCAAAAGAAACTTTCACAATGTCCTACTTGAATATCTTCTCATTTTAAAAAAAAATTTTTTTAAATTTCTACATTTCTTTTGTTAAATTTTTCTCAGCATCTTACATCTTCCCATTTCAATAAACCCTATCCAAACTTTGTGTGTTTTTGTATCAAAATGACTTGTAAATGACTCATCAATCTATTCATGGTAAAATGGAGTATACAATCTGCCATCTTTCTCTAGCAAACAAGTTCATTCCGTGAACAAAGCAATCTAAGACAAAAGAACCCAATGGCCATTAAATTCATCGAACTCTTACAAAACCTTATTTCTCACTTTCTCTCCCATTTTTTTTTTTTTGCTCATTTATTCAAACAAATGTTTTTGAAATTTTGTCCATTACTAAGCCATTTTTTTTTATTTGCTTGAAATTTTCCTTCTATAATTGTAATTATAATGTATTGGATTTATACATGTATAATGTATTTATAATTTATAATTATATAATTTTTATATATATATATATATATATATATAATGATTTATATATATATATATATATATAAATTTATAATGTATTGATTTTTCTTATTTTAAAAGTCACTCTTCCCTTTTTTCTTTCTTTCACATGTATACAAGTTGAATTTTTTTTCCCTTATTTCATATTTCAACATTTTCCCCAATAGCTTTAAATTATTTGTTGCATCAAGCATTACCAGTAAAAACTAATTTATTATCTTGTAAAATCAACAATAAATGCTATTTAACCATTTCCTTTAAAAAAAAGTTCTTGAATGTATTTAAGAATATTTTAGAATATTCTTTTATTCTATTAAAAAGCCATAAACACAACTTTGTCTATATTGACTGAAACACACAGCAACGTACATCACTGATTAATAAACAACAAATTCAAATCAGTCTCCAAACCAGCCAATCATCTGATTTTATTTTTTTAATATACAGTGCAGCCTTGGTTCATGAATGTCTCACAGGCCAAACAAATCAGTTTCAAACAGGATATTCAAGATGAAAATGCCTCGGTTATCAAACAAAATTTCAGTTCTCGAACAACATTGCCAAACCGAGTTAACCCAAACGAAACCGTTTCTTAGTCAACAGCCATGTTGTATACATTCAAGTATGGTGCTGTGCTTTTCTTTTCCAATTTTATTGTACTGTGAGTTTTTCTCTTCATTAGTCCTCAGTCATGACACTGAAGAAAGTTAGCTGTGATATTGGTAAAGGAAAAAGAAAAGTTAAGAGAAAAACAATTGTTGATGATGTTGTCTCTTCCTACTCAGTTTCAAAATCAACGACCTATATTATTCTTATAAATAAAGAGATGATCATGTCTTTCCTTCTCTTTTCCAAACAATAACATCTCTTTCCTTCCACTTACGCCATCAACTCTCCTACATGCAGGTATCGTAAAATTGAAGTGTTTGTCTATATTTTATCTGTTTAGTATTGGATCTTTTCATATTTTTTTTTCTTTAATGATTTTCATTAGTTTTATGTATTATGATTTTCATTAGCTTTGTTTATAAACTTGTGCACAAAGTTCTGTTGTTATGGTTTAAATTATGAATCATCTTGGGACCAGGAACGGATTAATCCATCTTACATTGATTCCTATTGGAAAAATGGTTTTGGATTACGAACGGACTTCAGGAACGAATTAAATTTGTGAACCAAAGTTCCACTGTATATTAAAATATCATTATCATGAAGCATTATGAAAACTAAAAGAACTCCTCCAGAAGGCAGCGAAGGATAGTAATATGCATCGATTGTAAGAAGACAGAAGGTATGGTTGTCAGCAAAAGGAACATGCAAATTACAAATTGTAGATATTGAAATGAAGCAAGTACAACAATTTAAATATCTGGGAAGTGTATTAACAGAAGATGGACAGTGTGAAACTGATAATGAAAAATGATTTCCAAAAGCTAAACAAAGTATTAAAAAATAGGAAAATTTCATCAGAAACAAAGAAAAAAGTACTGAACAGTTATGTAATATCAGTCTTCCTATATGGCAGTGAATGTTAAACAATCCTCTCACAGATGAAGAAAAGACTTGAGGAAACAAAAATGTGGTTCTACAGAAGGATGCTGAGAATATCATGGACTGAACATGTGACTTCTTAACATCAGAAAGAGATAGCTGAAATTTCTAGGGACCATAATGAGGAAAGAGGGCTTGGAAAATTTGACATTCACAGGATATATTGAAGGCAAGATGAAAATAATGTGTAACTTGCCTAACAAACTTGTGTAAATAGATGACAGACAGGGTTTAGGAGAGATAGCAAAAAGACAAAATTTATTTATTATTAATTCATTATTATTAAATTTATTTATTACTAAAAGCTACAAAGGCAGGAAATAGTGGAGATCCATGATTGCCAATGTCTTAAAGAGACAAGGCACAAAGAAGATAATGAAGCATGATTAAGTAACCTCCCTCGCTTATCAAGACAGCTGACCATAAATCTCTCAGATCACAGCTTCCTAAGGTCTTATTTAAACCAACATGAAAATTTACCAACCATGATACTCAACATACTTGTTTAGAACACAAAGGTGATCCACATCTCCAACTGCAAAAACCATCTAAAAAATAATTGCCATAAAAACAGCAACTATGAACATGGCCATTGCATACTGGCTGTATTTGAAATTTAAGAATTTTTTTACCTATCAACTTACATACCATTTATTAACAACCAAAATCCTTGAAAAGAGTTAACAGATTAGCTAAAAGCAATCGAAATAAACAATCCTTTGGACAATTTCTACACACTCTAATTCCAAGCAAGAAATTTCTCGTTTGCATACAAGAAAAATACAATAAAAAACATAACAGAGGTACCTTGTCAGTCATTTTTAATGAAACATGTATTAGAGAGGGATTGATACCCAAATCGACAATTATTTAATCACTGTCTGTTCATTGGTAGACTCAATCTTATGGTATTGAAAATAAATTCAAGGGATGTAAAGTGTATTTTAATTTTGATTTCCTTGCTATAAATATTCTTCTTCTGCAATATATTAAATGAGGTATTGTTGAGGATCCCATACACCTTGCTGTTATCCAATAATGATAGTCTGTCATAAGCAAGTGTGCAAATACATGTCCAGTCTCTGTCAAGGGAAAAATCATGTACAAATTTGAATGTCTGTGCATAAAAATGTTTCTCTGTCTATGTTTATTCTAGAAGCATAAAATTGTGCAAGACTTTC